AGGATTGTTTCCTCCAGCATACCAGCGTTCGCTTCTTGTGTTATCAGCTGCCATGTTAGCATTTTTGGCGAAGATTTATCAGATAACTGACCTAAGTATTATACTTGAAACATTGCGGGATTTTGGTGTGAGTACTCCCTAGGATAAACTTTCATTGATTTCATTTCAAAGTCATGGCTACATGCTCTGTTACGAAGAATTAATGCAAACAAGGCGGTTTGATCTTGCTTTTTTCACTAAAAAGAATCTTAATTGATAAGATATTTGCAACATTATGGAAATAGAAAAGACTATTTTTCTGTTGTTGAACAAGTTCTGATTGCTACATTATGGAAACAGAACTGTTTTTCTGTTATTGGACAAGCTCTGATTGCAACATTATGGAAATGGAAGAAACTATTTTTTCTGTTGAACAAGTTATGATTGCAATTTTATGGAAGTAAAAGTTTTTACTATTGTTGAACAAGTTAGAAACAACATTTCATCTCTACTACCGTGTTTGTTTAACAAATTTTTTATGACATATTTTGTTTGTAATTGCTGTTAAAATCCCCTCCATGTTCAGGTTGATCCTTTTCTGGGTATCAATGATGGTTATCAAGTGTACCTGAAGCCTCACGTAGATGTGAGAAAATATGGTTCTGCAGCAGATAACGAAGCAGCTGTATCATCACTATCAGAATTGCGGAACAAAATTCAAGAGTGTCATGAGATAATAAAGGACATCTTAGTTAAAAGTTTGTCTAGCATTGCAGAGGTACTAGTTGTCTTGAAAATTCAATGTATACTTCGTTATTTTTTAACTTAACTCCGGCTCTCCCCTGCCGCCAAGAAAAAAAAGGAAAATAATCTCAAATGGACTTTTTTTTGTCCCTGGTCCTGCAAATTCGTGCTTACTTATTCTTTTGGGGTGTGCCTTAGGTTGAGGCAGATGACATATTCAAGCAGCTGTCGGAGGATTTCACACCTGATGATACTTTCATCTTTTATCTAAAATCAATGGTTGGCATGGATCACGTCCAAATAGGATCACACTCCAGAGATTCACCTTCGTTTGATGAGGTTTGCTCACCAAGCATTCACGTGATTCTTTGTGGCATGACATAGATGCTGGTTTAGTGTTCATCATCATTTAGTATCCCCACCCCCGGTCCAATTTATGTGGCACTTTCCTTTTACTCCTTCCGTTTCATTCTACTTATCCCATGTTGACTTGACACTCCCTTTGAGAAAATATTTATTAGGGGTTTATCTTACTAAATTAACCTTATTAATTATGCTTTGGAAATCTAAATTTGACTACTAGCATTTTATGTAGTTATTTAATGATAAGGGTAATATTGGAAGAAAATGATAATTTTTTCTTGATTTGTTAAAATAGACAAGTAAAATGAAAAAAAATCTATTTTAGTATTAAGGGGCAAGTAATTTGAAACGGAGGGAGTGGCATGTCCTTAAAAGAGAATGCCACCTTTTGTTTTTACCCTTAGTGAGATTATTTATAGCCACATAAATGTCTGGCTTGTTTAAGACATGAGTTTCAGTAGTCTTTTCTTTTTTAACAATGTGCCCAGTCAACTAGGCCCTATAAAATGGGATGGAGGAAGTACCAAGCAAATCTGTCCCTATCATTCCCTAGTTTAATGCCAGTGTCTGCTAACAGCTTCCTTATTGTTAATACATGCTCTCATATTCCTGAATCACAACATCTTTATACGTTTGTTGTTTACTGGTGCAGGAATGTTATCCAAATTCGTTTGTAGAGGATGACAAAGTAAGTGAATCATCAATTGCTGACATCACCAGATTCGTTCCCAGAATTCCTATGTCTCCATCTCCTTCTATGTCTCATGTTGTGAGCATTGGACAGCTTCTTGAATCGGTAAACTTCCCCACAGGCCACAACCCCTTTTATGTGTCCATCCACATGCATCTGTCTGTTTTCCTTTTGTGTGCCCCTAGAGATGAGCTTGATTGTAGAAGGATAATATAGTCCAGGCAGAATAGTTCGTTAGTTATAAACAAGATTTAGGGAGGTGTGACTAATAGTTGATTTGCCTGTTTGATTCGACTATTGCCACATTATTAATGAGAGTGTAAATCCTTTTAAAGAAAAGGAAACATCTTTCATGTACTCAATCACTGGGTAACTCGCTATTTGCAACAATGTGTCACATACTACTTTAGAGGATGCTGCATGATATCACTTTTCTGCAAATAGATTTCACCTCTTATAGCAATCTAAAGTTGTGCCTGTTTTGAATTTGTTGCTCAATAAATGAAATTTGAAAAATTATTGAAATTGTCGTTCAATATATGAATTTTTGAAAAGTTGTTGATTACTCCCATAGTTGATCCAACATAAAAGCAAAGTTTTTCTGAGTGTCAAGTTTCTCTCATCTGAAAGTGTGTAAAATGATGTGAGTTAAATCTGCAAAATGAGAAAATGTGAGTTAAATCTGCAAAATGAGAAAATGTGAGTTGAATCTGAAACAAAATTGTTAAATTTCTGCTTAGTTATGTACTGTCAGTTATATTTGCAAGCTGGTCCTGTCAAGTTTGTCTACAAAGTTAGCTTCATATTTGCATCTCCTGTCAAGTTATATAAATGGATTACATCATCTAATATTATTCTAGGTCCTTTGCCTACTTTTTCTCCGAAAACGGTTTTCACACGTTTTTCCTTGTTGAACAAGGGCAACTTCCGCTCCCTGATTGGTATCTTTAATCTATGACCACTACAGGTGTTTGACATGAGTGTGATATAGTTAGGTTTTGTTAAAAATTGAAGGTAGAGACAGATAATACTGCACCGATTATATGAACGAAGTACAAGCATTCATAGTTTTGGTTGGTCCAATGTATGAAAGTTGACAAAGCACCAACTTAATGATCTTTTATGCGATTTGAAAGAACCAAGTCAATCGAATAGCATTCTCCTTATTGTTCCTTAAGTTGGTTTCTTTTCTCAGGCACTCGAGGTGGCTGGTCAAGTAGCTGGTTCATCTGTTTCAACTTCACCACTTCCATATGACACCATCACTAGTCAATGCGAATCTCTTGGCACAGACTCGAGAAAGAAACTCTCTAATTGGTTAGCTCATGAAAATCATTGTTCAAAAGCAGCTGGTATGGTGTATCCTGCCTTCCCCGCAAATGGGCCATCTGCACTTGCTAAGGTGATCTTGTGTTAATTGTCTCCTAACTAGATCTTCATGCGTGTTCTTATTTTGAATCCCTCGATAGAGAAAGTTTGTACGCAAATGTGATCTCAGATGATTTAATTTCTCTCTGTTTCCGGTGTAGAAGTTGCTTTTGTTCTTTTTTTCGAGTCTTTAATTATGCCCCTTACTATGTCATCAGTGTACAAGTCTAGACTTGTTGCGTACTTGCATTTGATATTGATATCCATATGGTATGTTTTAACGTCTGTAACTTGTGTTTGCTGCAGATCCTTCAAGAAGATGGACCTGCTAAAGGACCTCCGTTATCAAATGAATCATGGCTAGCACTGAGGCTACCTCCTGCAAGTCCTTTTGATAACTTCCTCAGAGCTGCTAGAGGTTAGATCGATGCACGCAATGCAACTGCACCTTAGTTTGTAAATGACATCACATTGAGCTAGTGATCGACTAGTAGGTTTAGCTAACCCTTTTGCTTTAATTCCAACTCTGGAGCTGTCATGCCCCAACTTATCAAGTGTTTGTATTTCTAAGGTGTGTGTTTGTTGTAGCATTGTTGTAAAGTGCAGTATTACTAAGCTGTATTTAATTCTAACTTATGTTAGTCGTCTGTATCTAGGCTTGCTTTACAACTCCAGCTCCTCTGATCATTTCAAATCTCTCTTTACAATTTGGATGGAGTTTTAATTTAGATGAAGTTCTCTTATGTTTTTTTTTTTGTTTCCCACCTGGTGTTCGGTACCTACTTGTAGCCCGACTAAATTTGGATTTGTGCCGGAAAATCCCATAGGGGTAACGTGTTTCCTAACTAAGGTGACTCCATATCCAAGGGGACTTAGCTTGAACCTGAGACCTCTTGCACTTTCAAGTCCCATCTTCAAACCTTCATTTCATGTTCAACTAACTTTTCGTGTGATATAGCAATACCAAAGTGATTCTTACGAGATCAAATTAAAAAAAGTATCTTATTTCATCATTTTGAAAATTTTAGTGAATTTAATTGAGTGATTATGTAAGAAATTAACTCTTATTTATAACGTTTGATACAATCATAGCTCCCTGTAGTGACAACGCTGTTTTAAAAGTTTCATGACTGCTATAGTAAGATGGTGTTATATATGTATTTTGACATGTGACATTTAGATCTCATTTAGATGATATATCTAAAAGTTGTGTAAAATTATTTTTTGTACATGTTGTAAATGAAAAGAAAAATATTTGTTAAATTGAAAATCTCAATTGATTTTCTTATTTCATTAATTATAATCTGAAAAGGCAAACATCAATAGTAGCCTTTCCTTGAAAAGTTATGAAAACACCATCAATAGACAGTTGTATCTTTAATCTATAATATAATAACAGAGTATTCCCCGGCCTCCTCACTTATTCTCCTTTTTGGTTGCTAAACTTAAATTTTATTTTAAAATCTAAAAGCTTTTATGTCCACATTCATAAACAAAGTTTAAAAATTTAAATCTTGAAATTTCAAATGTGTCACATAAATTGAAATACAAGCAAATAATGATCACCTAATAATGAGTCATTATATAAAATAAATATAAACATTAAAACATGTTTAATATGAACATATATATAATTATTATAAATTGCCAACCATAGAATAACAATTCCTTGAAAGAAATCACTAGTGATATATATATATATATATATAATGTGTCATGAATAAAATAAGCTGCCATCAGTTTCATGCCATACGCGTACTCCCAATTAATTATCAAGACACTTTTTTTTGACTTTGACAAACAAATTCTATATATAAGTTTCCTGTTAATTGGTAAACATGTAGAATATATTTTAGGACAATCAATTCATTAATGAAAATCATGAAATCGTTCTCTCATATTTTTCTGCTATTAAGTACTTTAGTTATTTTTAGAGGTGCGAAAGCAAATCTGCAACAATCATACAACGTGAGTAGTATAATTCCGGCAGTATTTGTGTTCGGAGATTCCATAGTTGATACTGGCAACAACAACTACTTAGTGACAATAGTCAAGGGGAATATTCCACAAAATGGAAAGAACTTTATGGGAGGAAAGGCTACTGGAAGATTTTCTGATGGAAAAATTCCCTCTGATATTCTAGGTTCGTATTGTTATATTACATAATTTTAATATTGGAAATCTCAGTACTTCAGTTAGTTGACTACTTAATTAAATTTAGATTCGATTCTCATATTTGTTAATTATAGTGGAACAATTGGGAATAAAAGAGTTGTTGCCTCCATATCTTGATCCAAAACTACAAGCTAAGGATCTCATAACAGGAGTCACATTTGCTTCATCAGGTTCAGGATATGATCCAAAAACTAATGTTTTATTGGTATATTTTCTTTTCTTCCCTTTTTTGTTCAATTTATTTTTTTAGTAATATATTTTTCATTATTAATAATCTTTTTTTTTTTTAATGAAAATACAGTCAGTTCTATCAATTCCAAAACAACTAGAGTTATTCAAAGAATATATTGGAAAACTTAAAGCTATTGTTGGAGAAGCAAAAGCCTTAGAAATTGTGAGCAATAGCCTTTTTATAGTACTCTCTGGCCATAATGACATTCAATTAAATCCAGCTTCTATTTTAAACCCATCATACAATGAGCTCTTGGTCAAGTTTGCTTCTAATTTTGTGCAGGTACTTATTTTAATTTGCATACACTAATGTATTTTTTTATTTTTTAATTAATTATATCTGATTGTCTAATTTAATTTTGTTATTGTTTGATAGGAGTTGTACAAGTTGGGGGCACGTAAGATTGGTGTCTTTGGTGTATTACCAATAGGATGCATGCCACTTCATAGAAATACTAGAGGAGGACTTCGAAAAAATTGCGTAGATTCTCTTAATGAAAAAGCATATTCGTTCAACAATAAGCTCTCTATTGAGATAAACTCCCTTTCTAACAAATTTCCTGATGCTAAAATGGTCTATATTGACTTTTATAATTTCACGTTTGATCTAATCAATAACCCTACGAAATATGGTAAGTACTGTTGTTCATATGATATACTTACTTCAATTTACGTAATACAGTTTGACTGATTAAAATTTATTGTGACAGGATACAAGATTACGAAAAATGGATGTTGTGCTTTACTTGGGAAAATAGAATTGTTAGCAGCTTGTCCTATTGCATGTTCAAAAGATTATGAATATGTATTTTGGGATGGTTTTCACCTTACAGAGAAAGGCTATAGACTATTAGTCAATCAAGTTCTCCAGCAACATCTTCAAACATTCATCACACATGACCAAATGATATATTCAATATAATCAACTTATTAATCCTTTTGGAAAAAAGTAGTACATTTTTGTGTTGTATTTCCTTGATAAACATATAGTTTAATTTATCATAACTTCATATTTTATGATAAATATAAAGTTATGATTAAACATCTTTGTGATTCATTTGTTCCTCTAAGGGGTGAGCTTGCTTCGATTTTGGACATTTCATCTAATAAGTTTGTATGGTTTCGAAAAGTATAGTTTAATAAAACAGTTTTTTATATTATTTATCTATGAAATAAATAATTGTTCATGCTGACTAACATCATGGAGAATACTCGCTATCCTATGGAGAATTCAATAATGTTAAAGTATTTTTATTTACTTGTCTAATAAAACCGATAAGTTTGATAATATTTTTGAGATTATGTGTAAAATTAATTGAAAAGAGCCAAATATACCCTTCAACTATTCAAAATACGTTAATTTTACCCCCTTGTTACGAAAGAAGTATACATGATGAAGTTTATGTCGTTCAGTTTAGGTGGAGCTCAAATTTATGTTTAGTTTTGGGAAAAGGCATAGATTTCCCCTTCAAGTTGTCCTAAAACATCAGTTACAAACTTAAATTATTATGACGACCTATTACACACCTTTACTATTTAAAATTGAATTTATTCCCTACTGTATAAATATTTCAAGACTTACGTGTTGTAGCAAGTCAATTTACTTGATGATGCAAAAAACATATAAACTAACAACACACAAAATTTAAATTACGAGAATAAAAGATTCATTTCCTATCTATATCCTTATTCTTTTTAGGTAACTTTGATGTTCTCGTCGTGGTTAAGGCATGAACAAATTAAAAAAAATAAAAATCTTATTGGTTCTATCAGTTTCTTATCAAAAATAGAGTGAAGGACGATTCTTGCTATTTTTTGGATAATATAAGGATGTTTTTTGTTCACTTAGATAATATAAGGATGTGCATTAGATTTAAGTCATAGTTAATGAATGATTTAAGCCAAAAACTCTTTGTCATAAAGCGAAAAAAAAAAACTATTAGACGTAAAATCAAGAAGAAATTTTTAAAAATTCTATTTTTCTCCAAAAGATCGAGAACTTTATTAACTCCTAATTATTAAAAAAACTTTATTTAATACAAAAACAAAACTTACGTATTATTTTTAGAAACTATAAATTTGATAAGATTCTGAAGTTGAGTTACTTTCGTTTCGTTTAATTTTGTGGATTTTTGTCCGTATAATAAATTAAAAATACTGAATAATAAGTAATTGAATTATAGAAACATCTGCTCAACATCTAATGACTACTATTTGGTGAGCGGCGTACGTTAATTGGATGTATGCTAAGTTACGCTGAGAGCGCCGCTCTATATCTTTCCAAGCTCGTCGTTCTCGTTATTTGTTTACTCCAACACTCCACTCTTTAAATTGCCCCAAAAACCTATCTTTTCCTTTTCATCTACTCCGAACTCCAAAAAAAAAGAAATCCAAGAAAAAAAAATGGCTCATTCTTGCATAGCCACAACTTCCTCTCTCTCTAAATTCAATTCCTCAATTTTTCCGTCTGATTCTTGCAATCTTTCTCCCATATCTCTACAATTTAAACGTCTTTCCTTGAGGTACTGAAATGGGTTTGTATCTTTTTACTTGTATATGTCGCAAATACTGAGTGTTTCCCTTAAAGTTTTGATTTTTTGTGTTTTGGGTAATTACCCAGGAATGGGAAAGTGAAGAATAGGGGAAATAGCACTGTCAAGGCTGTGTATTCTGGAGCTGACTGGGATTTAGCAAAGGCTTCACGTTCTTCAGGAATTTGGTCTATCAGGTTCTTTTTCTTTTTCTTCCCCCCACCCCAAACCCAATCTTTAAGGGTCTTGGTTGAATTTCTTGGTAAATCTTGAAACTTTTTCCACGTTTTGTCAGCAAGAAATTGTCTAATTTAAGAGTGGGAAGGATACTTTTATTGGTTGTTATTGTTAGCAAGAAATTGTCTAAATCTTGAAACTTTTTCCATGTTTCTTATGGTTGATGAGTGGATAAGGGGGAATAGGCATAGAATATCTTGGGGTTAGGCCTAAATTTGGCTAACCAAGTTTAGACACTGATAAGAAGATGTTAATTTGACTTAATGGGTAGTACAATATTAGTAGTAGAACAACAACATATCCAGTGTAATCCCGGGGTCTCGTAGGGTAGTGTGTACGCTTACCTTACCCCTACCGTGGAATGTATAGAGTTTGTTTCGGATAGACCTAGTAGTACAATATTAGTAGTAGAAAAAGGGAGCATTATTGATGTCAAAAACATCACGTAGAAGCACAAAATTGAATAGTGAAATAAATTTTGAATTCTTGAAAGTCATGAAGGTTGCTTGTTAAAAAAAAAGTATATAACAGGATTGTTAGGAGGGTCAAACATTTTGCGATATCGCATATGGCAAAGTTCATATCAATTGAGACAGAGGAAGTACTACTTTAATCTGTATTTTCATTTGTCTTCTTAAAAAGAATCTTGTAAGTTACCTGAAAAGTAGATAGAAGGGTGTTTTCTTAGGTCATTTTATGGGATTTTTACAAGGAGTAAATGATCCAGTTTTTATGGACTTGTGGAACACATAAGTTGTAAGAATTCATTGTTGATGACTTAGTTGCTTTGTCATCTTATCTGTTATGTCTTATGCTTTTTCCTTGTTATTGGGTTTTGCAGAGATGACGTGCAAATACCATCATCACCTTATTTTCCTACATATGCCGCCCAAGGTCAAGGACCACCGCCGATGGTACAAGAGCGATTTCAGAGTGTGATCAGCCAGCTCTTTCAATATGTAAGAATTTGTTTCTTATGGTAGATTTAACATTCATCATAAAGTCACAATGTAGTTGCTAAAATTTTAATTTCTGTATTATTATTATTATTATCATCTTGTAGAGGATCATACGATGTGGTGGAGCAGTTGATGATGATATGGCTAATGTCATAGTTGCTCAGCTTCTTTATCTTGATGCTGTTGATCCCACAAAGGTATATTTTCAAGAGTGCACTTGTTTTCATCGGATAGACTTTGGTTAAAATATTAAATGTTTCAATTTCAAGGAGATTCTGCATAAGGCAGTCCTTTGGTAGTATATATCTTTTGTATTTGTGAATATTAATCCATCGCATTTGTTTGCCTAAATATGTTCTGTCTAGTGTCTACTGCTTAATTGCTTGAGCAACTTGTGAATTTCTTTCCTCTTTTTCATAATGGATTTTTTTTTTTTTTTTTTATAACTGAGAAATCCGTCTGTGACCCGCCCTTTGGACCAATCACAGCCTTCTAAACTCGGTGGATAATGCCCCCCCACCCCCTCTACCCTTCTCCACTTAAATACCGGGATTCGCTTTGCATGGTGTGGGGCTTGAACCTACGACCTAAGCCACAAATCCTCCACCTTTTGCCACTTGAGCTAGGCCTTGGGGGCATCATAATGGAATTTTCAGCATGTCATGTCATGTCAATTGACATGGCAGAATAACTTATATGCTTGAATTAGCCTACTGAGGCTGCAGTGCCCCAGTTGTGCATGAACCAAATGAGTGAAGAAAGGTAAGGCCTAGGTGGGAGACGTGTGAAAATTCAACCTTTTCCTCTCTTCTCTTGGTCTATTCTTACAGACTGATGTAGTCGGCAACCCTTATGCCATGATTATATGAGGCTTGCCCTTTGATCAGCTTCATATTAAATGAATAAAACCTTGCTTTTTATTGAACAAGAAAGCATACACAGATGCTGCTATGGTTTTATAATTATTATGCAGCTCTGCTTTTCTTTTGACATTTGCTTGTGACTTTTGCAGGAGCATCCCTTTTCAGTGTAGCTTTTAATTCTAAAACTGTCTTCCCTACTTTTTTTAACTACATCCTTCTATTTATATGTTTTACACAGCTTTCTTTTAATTCAACTGAACACCTCTTCAATTTACTACACAGGACATTGTTATGTATGTCAATTCTCCAGGAGGGTCAGTAACAGCAGGTACGACCAAGTGTTTCCGGTCAATCTCATTTTTCTGCTGCTTGCCATAGTTTTTTCAGCTTTTATCGTAGTGTTGAACTGTTATAATCAGATTTTACGGTCTACTTTAATGCATGGTTTCGATACCATTATTATCTCAGGAATGGCCGTTTTCGATACCATGCGACATATTCGACCTGATGTCTCAACTGTCTGTGTTGGACTCGCTGCAAGGTACCTGATTGATTACTGTGTAGCTTTGTGTTCCTCTTAGAAGATGATCTTTCATACATTGTTGCTTGTGATGCATATTTATGTGAAAATCACCTTTGCTTAACCCATGATAGGACTACATAGCTTTCCAGCGTAGGTTCTTTTATTTGCTTATCTATTTGATTAACTTTCCAATTCCTTTCATTTATTGGCATTTTTTGCAGCCTCTCCTTTCATTTAGGTACTTCACACTCCTCGATACTTCACACTTCTCTATTTTGGTGCAAAAGTTCACCAATATAAGCTTCTTTTTTACCCGGAATATAGGGGAAATATTTGAAAATGTTGGGATTGGATTTGCTGTTCCTTCTTCTCTTCCTCTTTCCTTAATTCTTCCATTCCTCCTATTTTGTCCCTTTTATGCCCTGTTCCTATACTGTGCCAGTTCACTTGATCCCAATTTCCTGAGGACTTCCTTGCATTGGAGAAGTATACAATGTCGAAGAAGTTAGTCTGATATAATTTTATTATGTTTGTTTGTATAATGTGTTATTTGATACTATTTCCATGTTGATGTTACATCGCTTTTACGATCCACCTATCATTCACGCAGCTATTTCCTAACCTTCTTATAATTAGATGGGTGAGTGGTGGAACAATTTACAAGTTTATTTCAAAAAAAGTTTTTGTAAATTGAGATTTCATATTCAGTTATAGGTGGGAATATATGGAATTTGTTTTACCTTTAGTACCCTAAGGTGATTACCTTTGCCTTTTTCTTTTTTTCATGGAATAAAGAGATTATCTTGCTTAGCTAATTTATGTTTTGCGGCACTGCAGTATGGGGGCTTTTCTTCTCAGTGCTGGCACTAAAGGTAAATTGAATAGTTGATTCAAGGCTAAAGTAACTTTCTTTGTCCTATGCTTCTAGTTTTTGCTCTTAACTTTTGATGTTGTTATCACCCTGAAGGAAAGAGATATAGCTTGCCAAATTCAAGGATAATGATTCACCAGCCTCTTGGTGGTGCTCAAGGTGGTCAAACTGATATAGATATACAGGTAATAACTCACTCTATTGTATGCCACAGTTTCTTTTTTTAGGATGAAGTTGTATGCCACAGTTTCTATTTCAAATGTTTGTATGTAGGGTGTGTTTAGTATGAAAGGAAAACATTCTCCAGAAAAATAAGTAGGGTTCTTACTTATTTTCTTGCATTTGGAATTTGTACGTAAAAAATGTTATCCTTGAAAGTATTTGTATACAATATAAACAAATACTATGGGGGTGGGGGTAAGGGAATGGGGGCTACAAGGGTGGGGTGAAGATGAGGTTTGTTTTGGGGGAAGATACAATCAATGTGGAATGCCACTTGTGGAACTTGTTTTCCCTACTTCCACTAAGGAAGTCATTTTCTATACCAAACACACCCTTGGGAGTCGGTATTTGTGATATAATGGTCTTACAAAGTATGTCGTCTGATTTAAACGTTCCATTGTAGAATCCCCTAGCCATCCTAAAAAGATATGCTAGAACCCCAGTCCTGACTATTTATTTTTTTTAACATTCTACTCTATGTGCTGACAGATAAAAAGTGCATTTAACAATGCACTAAAAACCTATGAACAATTTCCAGTTTTGTGTTTGTTAGTGAATACAAGTGGTCCTTTATAAGGTAAAGGATCCATTTCTAAACTTCACAGGCCAGAACCTCTGACCCTTGAAAAGCAAAAATCAGTCTGCACAAAGTGCTTATGGAGAAAAGTACCTGTGGATGACTTGTCCCAAAAAAAATGCATAGAAAGAGTACCTTTGAATAATGGAAACTTCCAAGTAATTTTCCAGTTCTTTGTATATTTAGAGAATGATATAATACAATAATATGATCATCAACCCCCAAACATAGTGGGTATGATTATCAACCCCTTGGGATTATTCCCATCCAATTCCATAAAAAAGCTAATCTTTTGTAACTGTTCATTCAGAGAATGCTTCTAGTTTAGAAGATATTCCCAACTTGTTTGGGGATTGAGACAAAGTAGTAGTAGTTGTTGTTGTATTTAGTTTAGACAATTTTGCGATGATTTAAGTTAATTTTCCAATATTCCAGCTTAGGTTATGTACACTAGTTAGTCAGAGCTTATAGAATTTTGTTTCTCCTGTGGAATAACTCAATTGTGGAACTTCTCTTGGATAAGTTAATAATTTGAAATAGTTATGTGAAATAATTTTCTACTTTTCATGCTTAGAAGCTGAGGCACACACAAATGCATGCTTTTTCTTGTATAACTTTAGTATGCTTAGATTGGTAAGGATGAAATACTTAGAGCTAAATCAATGCTGATAATAATGTCCAGGCTAATGAGATGTTGCATCACAAAGCAAATTTGAATGGTTACCTTGCCTACCAGACTGGTCAAAGCCTTGATAGGATTAATCAGGATACTGATCGTGATTTTTTCATGAGCGCAAAGGAAGCTAAAGAGTACGGGCTAATCGATGGTGTCATCATGAATCCAATGAAAGCCCTTCAACCACTTGCAGCAGCTGCTGAACAATCATAGTTGTATTGCAAGGAAGGTTAATTTTCTCCTTATCATTTCGCTGTCACCTGGATTATTAATACTCTCAGATTGTAATTGATTACTAAGTTTTGGGTAGACACAATATTCCTGCTGCCAGGAGCAAATGTACACCAATTTTTACTTGTTCATCAGAGTTACAGTTGGGAAAGAGTGAGTGTAATGTACCTGCCCGAATCTTATATAGACGTTTTCGCTTAAGTCTTGATATTTTTCTTTAAAAGTAATTTACCTCTTTTTGTTCATGTTGTTGTGTTTCTTGAAGAGCACTGATTTACTTTGACTTGTTCATTTATCAGCAAGTGTATTAATCTACAATAATATGTTGTATGTTTATCTTAGTACGAAATGGCTAGCAAAAGTTAAAACATGTTTAGGATAAAGTTGAATGAAATATGCCAATTGCATGAAATGAAAAACGAGAGAATAACATAGATCCATATTTTGCGGAATGGAACCTTAATTTTCATGTAGGGTCTTTCATTTCTCTTTTTACTCAAACATCAAACATACCTAGGCTGTCTTGTCCTTAAGTTTTCATGTAATCCACCCAATTTCTTCCAGGTTCTATCACCCATGAGTCAAACTAAGTTTGGTATTTTTCATGATTGATAACTAAATAGAAAATATTATTTCAAAAATATTTATATATAATCGAGAAGTAAATGCAGTCAAATGCTATTAATGAAGTTTTTTTCTATTTTCATAGAAAATGTCATTTAGTATCATTGACTAATGAGTAATTTGGACAAATAAAAAGGTACAGAGGGAATACTAAATAACAATTAATATGGTAAAATTAGCATATCAATCATTGTTTCTATTAGTTACACGTAAAATTTAAAATGGACAAGTAAAAATGATAAGGACTCAGGAGTATTAAATTTGATTAATCTTAGTACCCACACTTTAATTACGAGGAAAACACAGAAAGTCAATCAGATTCGTCCGATGTTGGGGCCTAACACTAAACCAATACAGATTTTCTATTTCAATATAAAAAAGTGTTGGGGCCTATTATCATATTGGAAGCTAGCTAGCTAGATTTATATAACTAAGGATTTATTTATTTTTAATTCTAGAAATTACTGAAAGACAAATAGTTTAGTGAAAAGAACAGGTGCTATCTACGAACCCAATCATTTGATAACCAAATTAACACATTCTTTATTAGACTAAATATAAATCATTTGTTGGCTAAGTGATCAAATCATGTTTTCGGACAAAAAGGGAGGAGAATAATGACTTTCTTTAAAGTCAAAGATTTGCTTCAACTTGGAGATCACACTTAATTAGTGCTACTTTTTCTTAATTAATTGAAAAGTAGAGTTATACTATGAAATAATTAAAATGTGCGCAAGATAATACTATAAATGTCGTTATCATCCAAATAAATAACATTATATGAAGTGTATTATTGCTTGATGTTACAACTAGAGATTTAATTATCATATGGAAATTATTCATTTCTAGTTTAGTTATTATATTAATGTAGCATTTAAAACAAAAGGGGATGGGAGTTCTAACCTAAATGTAATTAACTTACATAAAAAAAAACAATAGTAATAACATACTGATCAATATAGAGCTACGGTTCGAAAAGAATGGATGTGTGCAGACTTTATTTTTATTTTTAGAAAATATATATATAAGTTATTTTTCATAAAGTTCAGCTAAAAAAATTTATTGGATGAACAATTTTTGTTTTAACCCTTAACCATATGCTTGGCAACTTTTGATAAAGAGAGTTTCCCTTTAAACAAGACAAATTAGAATTTGTTGAATGAATGAATTTCGAATATTATACGATAAACACGTACACACAAAGCAAACAATTATTTAAGACATATTTGAACATACAATCTGGAATTATGATTTAAAGTTAAAAGTATACATTGTTTTGATATGTAATTCAATGTTTTAAATTAGTTTTTTTTCTTCTATAAATATGAAAATTCATAAGTTATTAAATTTTCTCCAATTCTCATTTAATTTTATTAAATGATGAAATCGTAATTTGTAAATAGATATTAAAATATCCTAAAATATTGTAATAATAAATCACATATCTTCATATTTCTTTTATACTATACGAAATAGTTTGGATAGCACACGAGCAAACAATCCCACTTGAAATAAATTGGTGGGGACACCCTATACCCATGGAAATAAGTAGTAGAAGGAAAAAAAGAGAGAGAGAGAAGCAATAAATATAATGAGGACAATAATTCTTAGCTAAAAATATAATGCATATGAAGAGAGTAACTAAGGTTTTTAGGTTTTATGAAGACTAGTACTTCCAACTTGTGTTAAGTATTTTCTTTTGCAGTAATGGCTGCCTTTTGAATGACTCAACACAAGCCTTTGCTTTGGCCTTTGTGTGATCAACTATCCATCAAACAGTGCAAAAAAGTGACTCACTTAATTTTACCACCCTGGCCTCAATTAACACACACACCGTATTGTCACCTCACCTCACCTTCTTTTCTTTTTACCAAAACGCCTTCCCACTAATTGACAACTCATGTGTAAGAGTAGTTTCGGGTGGAAATAAGTTATTTCGGGATAAGTTATCCTATCATGTATATGTGATACTTATCCTATATTCCCATTATTATGACTCAAAATGGTGAGATAAAACAATCCTACGTTTTATCCTAGAATTATTATATATCTCACACCAAACAACTCCTAAGTATTATACTCAAAAGGTCGTTTGGTGAATGGGGACGAGATAAGAAAGAATATTTCATGGACTTGGAACTACTATTAAGAAAATAAAATTAGTAACAGATAAAATTTCGTAGCTAAACAATAAAATTTTACACTAATCTCATTTTAACTACGGAGTATAAAAAAATTCAATTAGCTAATTAGAATTATTTAGCGATAGATTAGTGAGGGACCGTCGAAACTTGATTACTCTAACTTAATTTTCTTTCAAAACTTGATCAAGCACCTCACTTTTATCTTTCCAAAACTTACCGGTACCGATACCGTTTCAGCCTAGGACAAAGTTTAACTTGCAAAATCAATTTAATCGTAGTTGTAAAATTATAACTTGCCATATTAAATATGAATTTGAAAATTGTACAGATCCAACTAACTTGAACTCGCAATAGTAAGCTAAATAAAGGCGGTAACTAAGTTACATTACTTATAATCAAAGGCGAACCCAGGATTTGAAGATTTCAGGTGCATCAATATTATCTTATTTCAAATATGAGCTCTAAAATAAACAATAAAATAGCGTTATAGCTAGATTCAAATCCAGGTCTCGTGGGTGGTTCATCTAGCTTGTACTAGCAGCACAATGTCAAACTTATACTCTTCATGAGTACACGATAAATTATATCCTAAGTTATATCAGTTTCTCAAAATAAATATACACCTATATACTTAATTTTTTTCGAAGTTAACAAATACACATGCCTCCTCTATATTCTTATTTATCTCATCTCTAGATAACTTAGTGGAGTTGGAGGTTAATTGAATTGGGAGAGTATAGATGCCTCACTAGAAATGAGCACAAGGTACAAGGTGTTACTGTTCGGTAGCGTGGGAGAACGTGCGCTATAAACCAAAAAAGCCTCCGATTTTATTTTATTTTTCATTTTGATTTTTTACTGCCATTTGAAATTCATATTAAATTTAAATTATACATTATAAAATTATCTATAGATGACGCTCAACAATATTTTCATATCTTCGAGGTGTCCATCCATTCCTTCCTATTGTCCTTTCCTCAAACCAACCTCATCTTCTCTAACCTTTTCTATGTTTTGCATGATATTTCTTGCATTTCATTTTATATGACATCATTTAATTAATATAATATTTTTTAAATTGTTTTTTATAAAAAATTATGGTTTAAAATAATTTTTAGATATTTATGTGGTTATAAATTATTTTATTAAGGATAAAAAAATTAAATTAAAATATTTTTAATTATAGTAAAGTAACATTCTTCGTTGGATGAACTAAAAAGAAAATGATGACGCATAAAATGTTAGGAAGAGAGTACATAAATACATTTTAATATGGTTTTCATTGATATTTGTGCCCTCATACGTTGAAATTAAATAAGTAGGCGCGCACACACATCCTATATGACATTAATTGTAATGTAGAATTAGTGTATCTCATACGAATTATCATGTATGATGTGTCTAATGTGTGTCTACTTACTCAATTTCAAAGTAGGTATAATACATAAACATGACCATTAACTTGAATTCAACGGATAATTATGCCTTTCAACTTTGAATGTGCACAAGTAGACACTTAAACTTGTATAAAATTGAACAAGTAGAAACACGTGTCCTACATGACATAATACACGTAGGATGTCACATAAGACACAAAATTGTTATGTAGGGTGTTATGTAGGACGAATGTGTCTATTTATTCAATTTATACAAATTTAAATATCTACTTATGCACATCTAAAGTTAAAAGTCATAGTTGTCAGCTAACGTCAAATTAAGAGTCATGAACATGTATTATGCCTTCAAAGTAGGATAACCAATCATCATTACCAGTAGCTACTAGTCTACAGTACATACTCTCTCTGTCCCTAATTATTTGTCCATTTTGACAAATCAAGAAAAAACAATTTTTTTACCTATTATATCCTCAATTAAATGATTAATTACTTTGAAAAATATAAAACTTTTCATCCACTTCATAATTAATAGGGATAAACTTGTAAACTCACTATGTCATTAATTGTTTTCTTAATATGTATGTCAATTCAAAAATGGACAAATAATTAGGGAAAGAGGGAGTATTAACTATCACCACAAAATAATATCCTTAATCAACACCGATAACCATTAGAATTAACTATCACTCGATAATTTTGAATTTTTTTTATTGATATAATATTATTATTTATTTTATATAAATATTGATATCTATTAGATTACTTAATTTAAAATAAAAAACAAGTTTATATATATGTTTTCTAAAAAAACAAGAAGAACATATAAATCCAACCGGGCATACCTCCTTGAATCCTTCAAACACCCCAGGGCTTCGTTCCTCTTTCCTTTTCCCCACTAATCACTAGTAACACATAGTCTCGTCTGGTCGGGTCTTTATCACCTTTTTTAATTTTTAGACTAAAAATAAAATTAAAGTAGCTGCCTTTTTCCAGGTGTCGATCTTTATCTTCTTTTTTTGGGTTTAAAGAAACGTACTCCATATATATACAGCCAGATTATAGCTAAGTATTTTTAATTAC